TTTCACCAGTTGCCTAGTCTATGGTGGAATTGACTTTTTTTAGCCACAATAGCCCGAGAATGATGTTTTCAGAGCTAATTATTGTGGGCATAGCTCCAGCCTCCTATTATTTTTTTTCAATTTTCCCCAATTTTCTACGATTTATCCTATGTTTATACGACCCTCCAAACATTGTCAGCATATTGGCGCCAGTTTATAAACCCTAGCCGCACGCCAAAACCTTGAGAATGCATCACCGATGGGCACACATCAGTGCATCAGAATGTGCCTACATCACTGCCGCCTTGTTGCTGCATCACGCTTCTTCGATAACAGCCGCACTCCGATCTCCATCAGACATCCAATCCCTGTCAGCCTGATAATGTCATACGACATGACACTCTGGCTTCTGTCTATTCCCAAGTTTGATTGGCAACAGACATTCAACTTCTATCAGCCCGGCAACATAATACGACATGACACACTGGCCCTTGCTTCTCCGCCAGAGTCTCCAGAATACTAGCAGCCACCATAGCACAGTTGCTTATGTAATGCCTGGTCCGTGCACAGCCTGACTAGTATATAAGGACCTTTGTTGTTGCTACCTAGCCCCCATCTCAACCTCTTGGTTATTGGGCTAGGTAAGCCTTTATCTGTACTGTAGAATACTTACTAAATACACTTAGTTATTGGGCTAGCTGAACAGGCTAACGCATTCATTGCCAGACTTTAGTCGGTGCTGCCTTTTGATTAGATCCACTTAGTATCTCGAGTGTTGTGTTGATGCTAGTCTACAACACTAATGTTAGTGATAAGAAACTTGTAATTTGCTGGCTGTCAAAAGCCTACAGTGAGCTTGAGTTTAATGTAGTGGGTAATAGCACTAGCATTATTGTGAGATCTATTGATATTACAGAGTCCTATCTGTCATTTGAGAAGGTAGTGATATATCTTGTTTTCTCTTACAAATCTTTCATATATGAAGAGTTCTGTTGCTCCGGAATCAACCATAGCAGGAGTGCAAAGTGATTTATTCAGTTCAGATACAGATACAAATACATAAAGGTGAAACAAGAGATGATCTATAGATGTTATAGTACACGATCAGATGGATTCTGAAGGGTCAGAAGTTATAGTATTTTGAACCAGTGCTGTTGAAGGTCGTTCTATTAAACCAGATGACAGAGCTGCAACTTTAGTCTGTGCCTTCATTAAAAACTCTAGCTGAGCTTGCTCATCGGCTCAGTGTTCTGCTTTTGCATGAAGATGATCATGTCCTTAAGAGCAGTGACCTTAGCAGCGGTGTCCAAGGCAGCAGCAACAGTGGTAGAAAACGAAGTGGCATGCACAGCTTGAGTTCGAGAAGCTTGGCCCATTAGCCTGAATAGACAGAGCTTCTTCCAATGGTCAGGTTTACCACAGTGCTGATACTTGACATCTTCATGGGACCCATCCACTTTGTAACCTTTAAATTTGCAGACTATGCAACAACTTTGAAATAGCTGTCAAAGCTTTCATTTGATTTTTTCGGAGTTCTTGAGATCAGAGAACATTTCATCAAAGTGAGTGGCAAAGATGTCAACTGGCAAGGAGATATCAATGTCCATGGTGTTTGGATCTTTGAAACTGGAGGAGCAGAAGGTCAAGGGTTGCAAGACCAGTTTGCCTTGATTGGCTGCCAGGTCTGCTTTTTGTTAGTCAATGGCATGTCCATATTCCTTGACCTTGTTGTAGTTCTAGGCTACCATGGAGAAGTAGGACAGCCAGATAATATAGTCAGAGTTTATATCTGACTTGAGTTGATCAAATAGATCTGCTTTTGACCAACCAGTATAAGAAGACCAAATTTCAAACCCAGACATATAGTCAGCAAAAGTACATGATTTTTGCCTAATAGAGCTGAGTTTCTGTTTGGCTTTGTTGAGGGCGTCTACTAATTCAAATTTAGCAGAGAACTGCTTGATAAACTCAGTCCACAAGTTGTTAAACAGAACGTGTCCTTTCACAACTTCTTCTATTTGAGACCTAGCCCAGATTGCAGCACCTCCTGTAATGAAGGACAGAATAGCACTGATCATTTTGCTATTGTCAACCATCCACTGGCTAGTGGCGTCATGCTGTATAGCATCCTGTGCATTTCGTAAGGCGAACATATCTTTGTTGGCATGGACGTAGACATGAAAGGCACTGCAGAAGAGTCTAGCTTTTTCTGAACTGGAACCATCAAACGCGACCGGTTTTTCAACGACAGAACAAAGTTGTGTAGATGAAATAAATGCCAAGGTTGCACAATTTGCCGTGATGAAGGAGTTGACCATGTTTATTATTGCATTTATGTTTAGCACCAACGTGTGCATCAGATTATGAAGGTTGACATCATGATGTGGTGCGATAGGTGCTATTAGAGCAGTTAGCTATATGGTCGGGTTTGAAAGAGAGCTAGCAGGTGTGTCTATCATGGGGGGAGGAGTACAACTGGTGTGTAAGTCTTCTAGACTTAGATTGGTATAATTCTTAATATGAATGTCAGGGAGATTCTTTGGTTCTGGCATGAGTTAGATGAGAGCTTCTTGTTCAGGCTGGAGTATGAGATATAGGGGTTTGTCCAATGTCAGCAGCTGAACAGGATCTTGGTAATACCAGTTGGGACACAGATTTTTGTAGCAAGAAGTGAGAGTATTTTGTCATTTCCTGTGTTGTATGTGATGCTACAGCTTCTCTGCCCTATCATCATTCTTCTCTCCTATAACTCTATATCCTGGAATATCCTCATCCTTTTTGGTATTTTCCTCCGCTTTCTATCCACAGTAGACCACTACTTCATCTGCTCCAGTGTCAGGCTTGGATCTGATTAGATAAAAAGATAAGCGCCTTGTGATGCGCTTTATATCTGTGGAGGCTTGTGTTTGGGCCTTCTTCAGTTGCTCAACTACAACCTCCAGTTGTGGTCTCCAGCACTCCTCTGGTCGAGTTTACCTCCCAGATCAAACATATTTGTCTTATGTTGGCATGTAACCATTCTAGTAAAGCTTTCTCATGGACAGTACCACTTATAATACCTTGCCTCTGCCATCTGTATAGGGAGCATACAACGAGCAAGTCAGAATAGATCATGCTCTTGCTTCTACCAATTGTCTGACTGGTCCCACATGATGTGCACATGTATTCCTTGTGCCAGAAGTTCTCTAATGGTCCAAGCATATAGCCACACAACTCATGGATCTCAGTACTCTTATTGGCATGTAGTAGGAACTCTACAAAGTCTATCTCATGTAGTTTAGCTGCCATGCCACAAAGTGACTGGAAGCTTTGATTACCCAGGCTCCACTCAAGTTAGACTGGAATGCTCTTATAGTCTAGCCTGTCTGAACATGAAGACAAAACAGAGCTTTTGGAGATGGCCTCTGTAACTACACCACAGAGTGGCTGGAGGCATTTATAACCTAGAATCCACTCAATCTGAACTGGGTTGATCTGCTTGAATAGGGTAGGACTTTTACAAATAGTGCCTCTAACCATTTCATTCCAGAAGTTCAGCTCAAGGTTTGTTTCAAACTTTTGTAAGGTGATTTTGTCTAATATAGTGCCAGTAGAAGCCATTGAAAGGTAGTAAGCAAGGTAAAAGATCAGGGGCAAGTTAAATCTCTATAAAGACTTGGAGAAGTTACACGTGAAGTATGTTGTGAGCAGAGATAATGGTGGTTAAGGTAAAAAAAGTGTATGAGGTGTACTTACTCCTTCCTTCAGTTGGGTCTGAGGTGGCAAATTGTGCATTTTGAGAAAGCAGTTGCTTTATTGGATAGAAGTTGAGAGTTTGATTCTGGCTGGAGGATCTTTTTTATTTCAATAAATTTTGGTTTTGAAGGCTAAGATAAAGTGATATTGTGGCAGATAGTATGTGAATGAGGTCAGGAAAGCATGGGAATCTGCTGCATCTGGAGAGGAAAGCAGAAACAGCCAGTCAGAAGATCAGAAGGCTGTGATAGCCAACAGCGGAGGCAAGGTCATTGGAGTTAACACTGTAATGGACTACATGTTATGATTTCTGAATGTAATGAAGAAATGTTCTGTTGGAAGTAGCACTTTGAGAGTCAGTTTACTTTCTTGCGCAGATCTGCTCCTTGCTCTACAGCTTGCTATGATTAAGCTATTGACCTAAAACTTGGCTCACATATACCTCTAGCATAGGTCTACATGTGGAAATTTGTTTGATCACATATGGATCAGTTTTGGCTCTTCAGCACTATGTTTTGTGTTTCAGCTCAGGACTTTGACAAATTTCACACATGGATCACTTCCAAAAGGCACAACATCTAGAAGATATGCCAAAACTAATTGTTTAAAATGGTGAACCAAAGAGAACAAAGTGCGAGACAACGCCAGAATAAACGCCCAATAAGCGCCATAGCACATTCTGCTCTCTTCATCACTTCTATTCTTCCTCACATATTTTTGTCCATCCATATCATGTAGCATAGAACCTCCTATATACATAATAACTGTGTACTTAGTATGAGAATGGTTCAAGACCATGATTCGGTGATTAACTGCTGACTACTGGCTTTAAAGCTTAATGCACAGTGTTGCACAATAGATTGTGAACTCAACAGTGGCTGAAATTGCTTGCTATTTCATATTTCTATTGTCCATACTACCTAGCACTGCTGTGTATATATGTAGAATTACCAAAACTTATTTGGAATTACTAAAAAATGTGCTATACATTTATTGCTCTTACTTCTCTTTACAAATCAATACTTGTCCATAATTCACACAGATATTCTAGAAGTCTTTTTTTACTATGCGTTGCAAGTATTAGGCGACTGTATTGTGCATATTTAGACATATGAGCCCATAATTAAGCATATGGTCATGATCTTGTGCATAAAATTTAACTCCTCAAGCTACCACACTTAATGGCTGTTCTACTCCATTCTGCTATCTTAGAACACTCATATATATATATATATAATAAATAAATATAGTTATATAATCTCCAGTATGCCATGAGGCAACCAATTTCACTTTGTGAAGTCAGGGAGTTTGCAACCTGTGAGTATCTTTCTGACCTTGACTGCTCCACTATCCTCTTCAGCTAACATCTCTGACTCTTTGGCAAATATTCTCTTCACAGCCTCCAACATGGTGTGCATCTTCAGTGGTGACTTGGTAATATAATCTGTGATATATGTTGCACAATCCGAAATTACCTCATGAGATAGCCACCTTGAGCTGCCTCGGCACTCCCAGCTGAAGTCTCATGATGTCATCATGAATGCTCTCTGAGCCAATGAAAAGCCTTTGTGGACACCTGTGAGAATAAAATACCCTTCCAGAAAGGCCTCCCACAGTTAATCTAGCTTCTTTGGTCTCGCTCAAGTGCTTCTTGTGTGAATCTCATGAGGATAGCATTTTCCTCATGAGACATGAGCCAGTGCTAGTTCAACCCATTATGAGGCATCACGTTGCCTCATGGATCAGCATTAAAAGTTGTAACATAGGCTACAACAGACTTAATAGCTATACCAGATAGTAAACTTGTAACAGCATTGCATCTCATAAGATATGTAAGCACAGGTGAGTAGGTGTTGAGTATAGCCTCTCCTTTCTTCAAGTTCAGGGCACCTGTCTCTAGATCTACCTGAGTTTCTAGTAGGATTTATTGCAGTTTACCATGGCCCAAAATAAAAACTTACGGCAGAAATCTAAAACTTGCTGCACGTTATTAACTTATTGTGAAAATGTGAGCATCAACGTGAGCTTCTACTCACCGCCATGAGGAATGATGAACGTAGGTGTGTTCATGTGAGTGATATGGCACAGGCTTGTACTAACGTGCATGTACGTGCACAATCGCCTAACTAAAACTCGCGCCAACTTTATGAGACTCACTTGGCATTTGTGATGGTGCACGAGTCTGTGCAAAAGTGCACCGAAGTGCATGCACCTGCACCAAGGTGACAACCTCAAACCCAAACTCGCATGGTCTACATTGAAACTCACATATCCTAAATATAAACTCACTCGAGCTATAATGAAACTTGCAGAAAGTGAGCTTAAAGCCACATAGAGTAGCCACAAACTTACGAGGGGCTATGATGAAACTCGCATGGGTAGGACTTAGACTCCTGTACTCTACACATAAACTCACATGAGCCATAATAAAACTCGCATAATAGGACTCAGATTTGCATACATTAGAGGTAAACTTATGTGAGCTACAGTAAAACTTACATGAAGCAAACTCAAACTTGCCTAGAGCTGACCCAAACTCATGGGCAGTACAACGAATTTTGTATTCTGTGGACCTAAACTTTGCCTTCAATCAGGAAAACTTGGTTTCATTTGATTAAGAACTTGCTCTCGTTCAATCAAAATTTCAGAACTCAGCTCGATCATAACTTGTATGCCATGAGGCACCAAAGATCAGTTCTGAGGGTCTGACAGCAAATCCCAAGAACTTCATAATGCTCAAGGCATTGTGCTACAAAGCTTGCCAGCTAACTGCACGACTCCAAAAAGGTGCATTATTGTAATCAAAACTATACTCAGTACCTAAATGCTATTGTGTATACTTACTGCTCTCAAAATCCAGCATCTACTGCTCTAGTCACTGTTTTTGTTGTGGGCATAGCCCTGCCCAGGATTTTTCCCGTATTTTCTAGAATTTTCCCTGAGTTTATATGACACCTTTACTGTTGTTAACATTCAAACCCTTGTGTTAGCACCAGTTTATTCCCATGCCCTCGCAGTGCATCAGCGCATCAATGCGCTCAGCATGCTGAAACAACACCACCATCAGAGAAGCCATCACACAGCCTCCCAGCAGTCCCCATTGAAAGTCCGATTGGCATCGGACATCCAGCTTACATTGGCTAGACGACAGTCACCAATGCTGACTCTCTTCCATCAGAAGTCTGATTAACATCAGACCTCCAACCCCCATTGGCATGAATACGTCAGATATCATGACTTACCGGCCTCTGCTGTTACTCCACAAACTCCAGCACAGTCTTTTGGCACCTTTCAGTGGAGCTCCAATCAACACCGGATGTTCTACCAAACTTTGGTCAGATTATACATCATAGCAATGCAATGGACATCCAGCCTCGGCTATCCTGACAACTCGTTGGCCCGATTACATCAGACTTTATGATACAACAGTCACATTATCGGCTTACTACCACAATCGCACCAACAATCTAGACTCTGCTGTTCAGATCGGCTTGGCATCATCGAAATCTCTAATTTCTTGGCTGCACACTTGGGAGTAATGTTAGTATGGGTGATAGAATGCAAACATCCTTCGGGTGTCTCTAAGCGCACAAACCACCAAAGTACAGACATGAGTCTTGATCGAAACATCAAATGTCAGCAGTTCAGATGTGTCATCCGGCATGACTCCTGAAGCTCTTTGAGTCGCACTCCAATCAAATGTCGGCTATCCACTGTAGTGACAACCCAGAAGCACAGTCGCTTAGACTACCAAAGCCACCTGTATGGCCTGCGGCTAAACACACATTACATCAAGGGTCTAGAAACAGATGCCACTATATTGGAACTCCAACTTAGGTGACACCTCGAATCCAGCTAGCAATAGCTGGACTCTAGCTCACCAGCCTAAGTTCAGACATCTGAGCACATGGTTGCACACAGCATGCTCCCACTAATAGACATTAAGTGCCTCCCTCTCTGTTGTACCACCACAGATACGGAGGTCACAGATACAGCACACTTCTGAGATCTGATTAGCATTGGATACGACAGAATACCACTCTAAGACCAAGACTTCTATCAGTCTAACAATGATCAAATGCCAGAAAGCTCTGGATCTGATCAGATATCAGATATTCACCTAAAGGCCATGAGTAAAGCATGGGAACCTGCTACATCTGAAGAGGAAAGCGGAAAGAGCCAGTCAGAAGATCAGAAGGTTGTAATAGCCAACAGTAGAGGCAAGGTCATTGGAGTTAACACTATGACGGACTACATGTACAGACCTGAGAAGTATGAGTCAGTATGCTTGTATGACTGGGTAAGGAGATCAGTGAAAGGCAAGATGTTCAAGAGATTTGGAAGAAGACGAGATTGAATACAGGCAGGAGTTTAGCCGGGATGAGAATAGTTCTGACCCAGATATTTTTACTGTTGATGAGTCAAGTGACTTTACGCCATGGGCGAGATTCACAGAAGACCATCCACAGTATAGTACACATCATGTACACATGTGCACAGAGGCAGAATCAAAAGTCCCAGACATTATTGGTGGAGCTTTACCGTGAATGGATAAAGGCAACAAGAAGACTATTGCATAACCATGCTTACTCTGTTCAAGCCCTGGCGCACTGGTAAAAATCTCAAGTCAGAAGAGGCAAGCCGAAATGATACCTTTACTAATCGTTCATTTGCTCCAAGACAATCAGAGCTTATGAAATTCTTCCAAGTGCGCTATGAGTGCAATGATGCCAGAGATGATAATGCTGCAGCTAGGAAGAAAGATATTGCCAGACTGTCTAAGATGCAAGATGCTGAACGCTTATTACACACTACTGGAGCTATGGACAAGTCTAGTGAAGATATCAAGGCAAGAATCACACAGATCAAGGTGCAGTCTGGTCAGGAAAGGTGAGCACATGGATGGGAAGAGCTTCTGGCAAACAAGAGAGTGGATATTCTCAAGGCTAAGCACGGTCAGATAAGTGAAGCTGTGAAGGCAAAGACACAAACTAATTCAGATGATATTAACACTGTTAAAATCATTGACAAGTGATACTTGGATGCCTCCTTTGTACCTCCATCTCCAGAGTCCAAGAAGCTCATTGATAATACTATCACGAAGTTTACCTTGAACAGAGAGCAAAGGAGAGCCTTCTACATCATTGCCAACCATGCTAGCAAGCCCTCTGGTGAACAGCTCAAGATGCACCTTGGTGGCATGGCAGGCACAGTAAAATCGCAAGTAATCAAAGCTCTTACACGCTTCTTCAAGGGGCGCAATGAAGGCCATAGAGTCTTGTGTGTAGCACATACTGGAGCTGCAGCTTCACTCATTGGAGGATCTACTTATCACCATGTGCTGGGCTTCAGTGCCTATGATGGACAAGATAGGTCTTCAAGCTATAGTTTAACATCTGCTGCTGTAGACAATCTGCATGGTGTACAATATATCTTCCTAGATGAAGTGTCAATGGTGGATAATAATGAGCTCTACAAGATATGTGAGCAGATGTGTATAGCCAGGAATAAGCCTGATGAGCCATTTGGAGGAATTAGCATCATTATAGCTGGAGATTTTGCTCAGCTGCCACTATAGCTTCTGGTAATGCCTTGGATGCTGGAAGTGTTACATTTACTCTGCACTCCACAAACTCTGTACACAGCCAGAAAGCAGCTATTTGGCAAGGCTCCGTGGCACCAGTTTACTACAGTGGTTATTCTGAAGCAGAATATGAGACAGAAGAGCCAGACAGCAAATGATGGGAGGCTAAGGAAATGCTTGGAAACTATGCGTTATGGAGCCTGCCCAGATGCAGATATCAAGCTATTGAACTCAAGGATTGTAGGACGAGCAAATGGTAGACCCAAGCTGTCAGATCCCAGGTTTCATCATGTATCCATCATCACCTCATGGAATGCTCACAGAGACAAGATAAATGAAGTGAGATCTGTACAGTTTGCTGAGGAAGCTGGGAAGTCACTCCAGGAGTTCTATGGCAATGACAAGTGGAAGGCAGATGCGAAGGAAAGCAGGAAGAGAAAGAGAGAGGCCAAGCTCATGAGGTCAATCCGAAGAGGATAAATAATGAGATTAACCCTTTCCTCAAAGAGACTTTGTAAAGTTTACCTCATTCTTGCTCACAGAATCATCTTGGTGTATTGAAGCCTATGTATTGGCCTACCCATGATGATCAAGAGAAACTTGGTCACTGAGTGCTGTGTAACCAATGAAGCTGAAGGTAGGGTTGTAGGCTGGAAGTCTAAGCCCTTGGATGATAGTGAAAAGATGCAGCTGGAGACTGTGTTTGTGGAGCTTACCTGTCCACCTAAGCCAACACAATTGGATGGATTACCAGCTGATGTGGTGCCTATATCTCAGGTAGCTGTGGCCACCAAGTCTATGATGCCAAATGGCAAGGTCTTGACTATCAACAGAGATCAGGTCCCACTTGTGCCTAATTTTGCCATGACAGACTACAACTCTCAAGGCAGAACAAGGCCAGACAATGTAGTTGACCTGCAGAACTGCACAAACTATCAGTCAGTGTATACATGTCTTTCCAAAGGTTCCTCATATGAAGGCACGGCAATTATTCCAAGGATTTGATGACGAAAAAATTCGGAGTGGTATATCAGGCTGGCTGCGCCAGGAATACAGAGAATTAGAGCTGTTGAATGAGGTCACAAGGCTACTGTATCATAGGAAAACTTCTACAAGTGTTGGTGGAGTAATAAGGAAGCAGGTGATCTACACATACAGACAGTGGATGCGAGATGACTTTGTACCCAACAGCATGCCCAAGCATATCAAATGGTCAAAGGAACAGCCATGGCCAAGCTGTGAGCCCGATGATGATGAAGGCTGCAGGATTGTAGTCAATAAGTCATCAAAAAAGGATAATTCCTGGCAAAAGGATAACACCCAGACTTCTCAAACTGCAAGGAAAAGTCGAACAAATCCTGGAGTATTTGTGGCAGCCAAGGGTACAACAGCTTTGAAGACACTGAGCAATGACAGATGCCTGTGAAAAAGAGAAAAAAGTCGAGCACAGAAGTAGAAGAAGCAGAAGAAGCTGGAGTTATTACCACCAAGCTCGGACTTGATCAGAACAATGCCATGACAACTCAGAAGTGGGGCTTTGATTGAAGTGATTACAGCTGTGCTTATGATAGCTTGTTTGCCATATTGCTCCAAACACTGTATGATCCAGTCCAATTGACTTGGAAGTTGTCTTCAAACCAACTACCTATGTTAACCTCACTTTTCAAAGTATGCAAGTCAGCAGAAAGAGTCTATCTTTGAATACTGCCAGAGACTCAATCAGAGCTAAGCTGCATGAACTAGACCCTGTAATGTTTCCCACTACATCCTAATGAGGGTACTAACATTCATGAGCTGTGTAGCTATATGCTTGGACCATTAGAGAGCTTCTGGCACAAGGAATACATGTGCAGATCATGTGGAACCAGTCAGATAATTGGTAGAAGCAAGAATATGACCTATTGTGACTTGCTCCTTATATGCTCCCCATACAAATGGCAGAGGCAAGGCATCATGAGTGGTATTGCCCATGACAAAGCTCCACTAGAATGATTACATGCCAACACAAGACAAATAGCCAATACAACATGGAATAGCTGTGTCCCAAATTCCATTTTGAGCTTTAAGCATTTCATTCCCCTTGTATTGCCTTGGAAGTGGAATGAAATCCTTTCAACGCCCTTTAAAGGCCTTAAAAGCACTTAAAATCCAGCTTTAAGTCACTGTAAGATTATCTTAAGGTCATTTCAAGATTGGCGCCTTTCAAGGTCGATTTGAAATTTGGAACATGTGATACCAAGCTAGCAAAGGAAGTAATCATAGATAATATGCCTCAATTTCTCAAGTTCAAAGTTGATAAAGTTACTGTCAAGTGGACTCCTATACTGGACTTAAAAAGGTGGAGATACAGGCTATGTGGATTTATTTATTATGGCAATGAGCACTTTACAGCCAGGATAGTTAGTGCTAAACAGCAAGTATGGTATAATGAAGGGTTGAAGCATGGTAGCCTATATCACTTGGACTCCCAGCTTTGTAATATGACACCAGTCCAACTTGCCAATAGTTCAGATGGGCATAAGCAGGCCTTTGAGTTTTATAGTCAAATATTGTAAATAAAGAGTATAATAGCTTGTAAGTTATTGTTATTTATGTGATAAACACATTATTCATAAAATTCACATAATAAGATGATGAGAGATTACTGTCAATATATTTTGCAAAGTTGTAAAGTAATGCTTTATATAGCTCTAAGTTTTATATAAATGGTAAGCTATTATAATATCTAAGTTATTATTATTTATATTGTAGCATAAAAGAAATGAAGAAATTGTACCTGCTGAGCATATATCTTTTCTGTGAAAGGAATCCAAACTTGATTATGATTTCTGAATGTAATTACAATTTCTGAATGTAATGAAGAAATGTTCTGTTAGAAGTAGCACTTTGGAAGTCAGTTTACTTTCAGACCAAAATCTGCCTAACTCTGTATAGCTACTAGGGTTATGTGGGCTATAGCATACATGCTCAGTATGTACAATTTCTTCATTTCTTTTATGCTGCAACATAAATAATGATAACTTAGATATTGTTATTTCCTGTGTTGTATATGATGCTACAGCTTCTCTGCCCTATCATCATTCTTCTCTCTCATATCTCTATATCCTGGAATATTCTCATCCTTTTTGCTATTTTCCTTCGCTTTTTATCCACAGTAGACCACTACTTCATCTGCTCCAGTATCAGGCTTAGATCTGATTAGATAAGTAGATAAGTGCCTTGTGATGCGCTCTTATGTCTCTGAAGGCTTGTGTTTGGGCCTTCTTCAATTGTTCATCCACAACCTCCAGGTCAGTAGTTGTATCTTGGCCTTAATAGACTTCAGTTGCTCATCCACAACCTCCAGGTGTGGTCTCCAGCACTCCTCTGGTCAAGTTTACCTCCCAGATTGAACAGATATTGTAATAGCTTACCATTTATATGAGACTTGGAGCTATATACAGTATCACAAGTTTACTAGTTTCTAAACTGTGTGCTTGATCAGACAGTGCAAGACTTATTAGATTATATCTGGTGCCTGTAACCAAGCCAGAATTTGGAGAGATGGCCTCTAAAGCCATGCCACAAGATGGCTGGAAGCTTTGTTCACCTAGGCTCCACTTATATTGAACTGGGATGCTCTTCTGTTTTAACCTGTCTGAGCATAAAGACAGGACAGAGCTTTTAGAGATGGCCCCTGTAATCATGCCACAAAGTGGCTGAAGGCATTTATGACCCAAGCTCCATTCAATCTCAACTGGGTTGCTCTGCTTGCTCAGTCTATCTGAGCAAGACATGGTGGGCCTTTTATAAATGGTGCCTTCAACTATTTCATTCCAGAAGTTCAGCTCAAGGTTTGTGTCAAAGGTTTGTAAGGTGATCTTGTCTAAGAAACTGCCAGTAGAAGCCATCAAAAAGTAGCAAGCAAGGTAGAAGATCAGAGGCAAGCCAAATCTCCATGAAGACTCAGAGAAGTTACATTTGTGAAGCATGTTGTGAGCAGAAATGGTGGTGGTTAAGGTAAAGGAAGTGTATGGGGTATACTGTAGTGGAGTGAATTGTACAAACCAGCCTGGGAGGCATGACAGCTTAACTGGCCCTCCATGCTACAAACCGCCATTGTGTTATATGTGACATGTCTGTTTACAGGGCAAAATATTGGCAAATTAGGTACTCCCGACAATTCTACATGTAAATACGGCCTTGTTGAAAGTCTGGAGTCATTCAAAAGACCATAGAAAGAGCCACACTGCCCATTCAAACTAGCTTGGGCACTCTATAGACTTTTGATAAGCTATAACACGTGATAAGGGAACTCAAATTACAAACCAGTGCAGGAATGCGTTATGCGTTACGGTTTGTACCATTTACTCCGCTACAGTACTTATCCTTCATCTCAGTTTGGTCTGAGATGGCAAATTGCGCATTTTGAGAGAGCAGTTGTCTTATTGGGTAGAGGTTGGAGGTTCAATTTTGGCTGTGGGATCTTTTTTATTTCGATGATTTTTAGTTTTGCCAACTAAGATAAAGTAATATCATGGCAGATATTATGACTATATATTTGAATAATGTATTTATGAGTGCTCTGAGATAGCAGAATGGAGTAGAACAGCCATTAAGTGTGGTAGCTTGAAGGATTAAGCTTTATGCACAAGATAATGACTATATAATCAATTATGAGCTTATACATCTATAAATGGACAATGTTGTCTTCTATTACTTTCAAAGTATAGTCAAAGATGCTCCTAGAATATATTTATGAACTATGAACAATTATTGATTAGTAGAGAGAAGTAAGAGTGGTAGATATGTAGCATATTTTTAGTAATTTCCAATAAATTTCTATTATTTCTGATATATTAATGGCAGTATTTGGTAGTGAAAGCAACTAGTGTGTAAAATATCAAGCTATTGCAACTGCTTTTTAGTTCACACGCTTATCGGGCGCTTAATCTGGCGTTTTCTCACACTTTGTTCTCATTAGTTCACCCCTTTAAACAATTAATTTGGCATATCTTTTACATATTCTGGACCTTCTGAACAGGCTTTATCTAATGGTATAAAGATAATCTAGATGTTGTGCCTTTTGCAAGTGATCCATGTGTGAAATTTGTCAAAGTCCTGAGCTCAAGCACAAAACATAGTGCTGAAGAGCCAAAACTGATCCATATGTGATCAAACAAATTTTCACATGTAAATCTATGCTAAAGGTATATATGAGCCAAGTTTTAGGTCAATAGCTTGATTATAGCAAGCTGTAGAGCAAGGAGCAGATTTGTGCAAGAAAGTAAACTGACTCCCAAAGTGCTACTTCCAACAGAATGTTTCTTAGTACATTCAAAAATTGTAATCAATATCTGAGCTATTGACATAAAACGTGGCCTTTACATATCTATTACATAGTTCCACATGACAATAATTGTTTAAATATATAGAAACCTGCTTTAGCTCTTTAGCACTGTGTTTTGTGCTTGAGCTGGGGACTTAGTCACATTTCACAGATAGCCCACTCTTAAAAGGCACAACATCTAGATAATTGTTATACAATCAGATAGAGCATGTTGAGAGAGTCCAGAATATATAAAAATATATATCCAATTAATTGTTTAAAGAGATGATTTGGAAAGAACAAAGTGCGAGAAAACGCCAAAATAAGCGCCCTATAAGCGCCACAGCATGTTCTGCCCTCTTCATCACTTTTACTCTTTCTCACATATTTCTGTCCATCTATACTATGTAGCATAGAATTTGCTATATACATACTAATTGTGTGCCTAGTATGAAAGTAGTTCAAGATCATAGTTCAGTGATAAAGTGCTGACTACTGGCTTTAGAAGGTTCAGATGGCTCAGTGGGTAACTGCTGTTTCAGATTGTCTTTGACAAGAGAACACCCATCAGAAGTTTGGAGTTTGAGCTCTCCTTTGGTAAAGGAGGTTCACAATCTGAGGATTACCCAGAAGCTCAGCCCAATTGCAATGTGACAGAACTCAAAGATATCACATGCATGGACATATAGCTACGATAAAGCCTACTTTTGAGTGTCTAACTCCTGTGTGCCAGCCCATAGGTTTGCAGATTTGGAGCGCAACCTACACCGGTCATACACAATGTAGTTCTCTGACTGGAGTTCTCCTAGTAAAGCCCCACAGCCAATGGCAAACCTTTCTATGCCTGCTGGAATGCAGGGGCAAATGGAAATTAGCACACCCATTTGGTGGGGAAAGGGCTCCCCAAAGTTAGGCCATTC